TATAAATATAAATATAAATATAAATATAAATATAAATATAAATATAAATATAAATATAAATATAAATAGATTTTTATGGGTAAGTAAATATAATTCTTTTGGTGCTGCTGGTTTTGATGCTGTTGGTGGGGATGGTGCTGCTGCTGCTGCTGCTGCTGCTGCTACTGCTACTGCTACTGCTACTGCTGCTGCTACTGCTGTTGCTGCTGCTGCTGCTGCTGCTGTTGAAGCTGCAGAGAAGTGGCACTGGAGGAGATGAGGAGACACAAGAGACAGGAGACAGGAGACAGAAGAAAAGGAGACAGAAGAGAAAGGAGACAGAAGAGAGATGAGAGAGAAGAGAAAGTAGACAGGAGACAGAAGAGGCAGAAGAGAAAGGAGGGAGAAGAGAAAGAAGAGACAGAAGAGAGGAGGGAAAGGAGACAGGAGACAGAAAAGAGACAGAACAGACAGAAGAGACAGAAGAAAAAGGAGACAGAAGAGACAGAAGAGACAGAAGAGAAGGGAAACAGAAGAGACAGAAGAGAAAGGAGACAGAAGAGAAAGAAGAGAAAGAAGAGAAAGAAGAGACAGAAGAGATACAGAGGAGACAGGAGAGAAAGGAGACAGGAGAGAAAGGAGAAGGGAGACAGAAGAAAAAGGAGACAGAAGAGAAAGAAGAGAAAGGAGACAGAAGAGAAAGGAGACAGAAGAAAAAGGAGACAGAAGAAAAATGAGACAGAAGAGACAGGAGACAGAAGAGAAAGGAGACAGAAGAGACAGAAGAAAAAGGAGACAGAAGAAAAAGGAGACAGAAGAGACAGAAGAAAAAGAGACAGAGTGTGTGTGTGTGTATGTGACCTTCTTCTACTGTGGGTGTGTCTGTCTCCTCTGGCGATCTCTCAGCGGGGTAACGAAAGCCCCCAGGAGAGACAGAAGCATATTTCTTATCGAGATACCGCTGCTGCTGCTGCTGCTGCTGCTGCTGTTGCTGCTGCTGCTGCTGCTGCTGCTGCTGCGAGAAAGGACGTCTGATGCTGCTGCTGCTGTTGCTGCTGATTCTGCTGCCTATAGGCAGAGAAGGAATCCCGGTGGATAACTGCAGCAGCAGGAGACAGAAAGGAGACAGGAGGAAACACAAAAGATACAGAAAGGAGACAGATATAAGAAACAGCAACACAAGCTGCTGCTGCTGCTGCTGCTGCTGCTGCTGCAGCAGCAACAGGCTTACACCCCCCCCCTCAACCCCCCGCCCTATTAAACCCGCAATGTGAATGTTGTCCCCTTCTCAGCGTAATAAAAAAAAAGAGAAGAGAAACGAGAGCAGAAAAGAACAAATAAAACAAAAAGAAAAACAACAACAGCAACAAAAAGAAGAAGAATAGAGACGAACCTGGTCTGTATGCGAGACACCGCGGTGAGGCTGCTGCAGAGACAGCTCATAGCCACGAAAGATTTGGTGAATTCGCTGCGGCAGCCCCCCCTCATCCATCAGCCCAGGTGTGAACTGTGCTGGGGTTTGTTGCTGCTGCTGCTGCTGCTGCTGCTGCTGCTGCTGCTGGTGCTGGGGGCTCGCCATGGGTGGTTGGTGGTGTATTTGTGCGTGAACCAGGTGTATATACAGCGAAATACAAGCAAAAATATGTAAAAAAAGAAAAAAATCAGAAAAAAATACACTCAATGGTGGGTTATATACATAGATGAATGTACACTGAGCTGCCTATACACCCCAGATACAAGCACCGATACTACAGAGAGGGGCTGGGTGTCTTCTATGGGTTCTGTTGCTCCTTTTGTTTATAAATTGTGAAAAAAGAAGAGAAAATACAAATATAATCATAAATAAAGAAAAAAAAAGAAAGAATAGCGAGCAGAAAGAAGA